ACCATCAGTATGCACAAGAATTACCAGACATCGGTGATCAACGGGACAGTTACTTGCAACGAGCAACAAAACTGTATGACACGCAGGCAAACATTGTCATAAACCAAAGAATGCATCCAACCAAACAATCCAAAATAGACACATTTTTTTCCCAAGACAGAAAAAAAAAATAAACATTAAAATACTGTACGTATTTTACTGTTGTGATTTTTTTTGGATACACCTGTATTGCAGTTTTTGTTATATAAAGTTTTGGGACAGTATATTTTTGTATTTATTGATTGTGTTGTTACACGTGCATTTTTGTCAACTTACTTGCAGGTTCATAAAGGACATGTACCATGCTCATTTCCCAAATGAGGAATTTCTGTTATCAGGACAAATTGGACAGCGCAAACACGAGTCCGCACTAGAGAATATTTACTGTATACACATCTTTCACAATCGCTGCAGCTGGAACAAAGTGCTTTACAGAACATTTTAAATAGTATGTCCAAGAATTCAGAATATTGATCCATATATAAGGCGCATCGGATTATAAGGCGCACTGTCGGCTTTTCATAATATTGAATGCTTTTGGGTGCACTGTATGGTGCGTAAAATACGGTAATTCACATAAGAATATGAACTGAGGCCGCTGATAGCACCTTCAATTGCACTTCATTCGCGCCCGCAGTTTGCTCTGTCGTCATGTCCAATTCACCAAGAATATTGCACTCATGACATACCGGTACAAACGCGGCCACAAGTTTGCCCCTGATTTTTCCTCAGTTGAAATAAGCTACAGATGGCAATGCAAAATATAACTGCTGGCTTTGCGCCAGGAAAATTGTGGCAGAACAATGGCAGCTAGGAAGAGGAAGTTGACATTTTTAGAACGGGAGCTTGGTACTGACCTGACCGAGGAGGTGTGAATGGGACGGTATGAAAATGTATCAATCGTCACCAAATTTCACATACACATCTCTAAACATGCCCACACAAATCTCTGAAAATATCACAATGATTGCATCAATATTTTGGAGTTCATGGACACAAGTGTTTTCCTCATTATGCGAAATTACGCTGGAGCTTCAGAAGTGCATTATAATGCCCATGAGATCCAAAACACGGTGGCGACTGTTTTGATATTTTCCGACGTTCACGGAGGAGCTGCAAGTTTACATCTGCTTCCTCAAGACGTTATTTGCTTCACTCAAACTGCATGTGGCTATTCGCACTGGTGTTAAGGGAATTAGATGCCATTTATCAATGAGGCTCATTTGCATAGCGGTGGGCAATTTCTCTGCCAAATATTTGCAGATTTCCTCATGTAAATGCGCGCAAATAACACCAGAGCAGTGAGACAGAATGTGCTTGGCAGCGCTGTTGGCTCCATTTTTCCCGGTTAACATCGCAAACAAGTCACACGCAATTCTTGAGAGAATTTGACCTTTAGTCACAAGGAAGAAACATTCGCAGAGTCACAAGCAGACCGATGTGTGAGAAATTTTTAGTGAATTAACATAACAGTGTGCAATTTGAGCTTTTTTTTAAACCCTGCATTTCACAAAAAATAAAAATAAAAAATCACCCTATTTTTTTTTTTTTTAATAATAATTTCAAAATTGATGTGTGTGTTGTTCAGAAAAATACCCTTTTTGTTTTCCTTTTCTGCAACCACACATAACGCCAGGAATGTCTGTGTAATTTCTCGGACATGTTTTCAACAACAAATGAAGGACTAGGAAATAAAATGTCAAAATCTAAAATCACAACTGACAGTATGATCCGTACAGCAAACCTCTGCTATGCCAGCCAGCACAAATTGCTGTAGTTGCTAATTACTCTTCTTCTTCTTCTTTTGTAATGTTTGGCGCAGTATTTTTCTTTCTTCTGCCTGCGGGTTTGCATCCAACTGACTCTTGAATTAACGTAGCTCTGGAAATATGTCCTTCATTTCACACGCCAACTACAGATTGCAGAATCACCCAAGCGATCAGAAATCAGTGTTTGAGGGCAGCAAAAGCACCATGTGACATCAAGTGGTAGTCAATGTAATGTTGTTTATATTTTGGTATAAATCAAAATGGTTCAGAGTAAAATGCAGTCAGAGTCTGTAAAGCAATTTTGGACTGCAGTCCTTTGTCAAATAGGCAGTGCTCTCAGAGGGCTGTGGTGTAAAAAACTGTTCTGGGCTCAGTTCCAGAGGAGACAGAGAAGAGAAGACCAACCAATCAACCACCAGCTCTCAATGGCCTGGCAGAATAATCTGCCAACCAGTGCAAATTGGCCACTTTCACTCTGGCACCCACGTTTGATTCACTGTTTCCTGGTATAATAATAATCGTAGTAATAAAAATAATAATAATAATATTCTCCCTCTCAAGGATTATATCAAGTGTATGTTGCTGAATAGAGAATTTGTCCACAATAAATAACTTATGTTGCAACATTAGTAGACTTTAGTATAATTTTGTTTTGCTTGGATCAAGCTATCCCACCACTTGGGTGTATTTTTGTCGCCCCCTATCGGTAGGTACCAGAGTGAGAAGAGACGGGGTTTGAGGAGAAGGAGGAGGAGCAGGATGAGGGGAAGACAGCTGAAAAAGGAACAGACAGATACAAATATGAACCAACTTAGAACGCAAGAGAGGAACAAAATAATAATAAAAAAATAACTAAATTAAAAAACAGGCTGAAAAACGAACAGATGGATCATGTAACCGTCACGACAGACAATCAACATACTTTGTACAAACATGTGACTTGTCACAACCCAAAGAGTTAAACGGGAACACAACAACTACATGCAATCTTGAACGTTAAAACCCTGACCCGGCAGTATCTTCCCTAAAACCCCATTACCTTAAAGCAGCATTCCATTCTGGAGGATCAGTCTCACTAATAAACAAACCTGCATTCTAAACAGTGCTGCACTCATCTAATCATAACTATGTGCTGCCTGTATAAGTGTGAGTGTGTGTGTGTGTGTGTGTGTGCGTCCGTGCGTGCGCGTGCGTGTGTGTGCGCGCATCCGCGTGCGTGTAGGAGGGGCAGCAGTGGAAAGTGGATGTATGGAATCAGAGTGATTCTGTTTGTTTTGGGCCAAATACTTTTTTTTTGTATTACATTTAACTGCTTCAGGGATAGCGGTCACTTCAGTGGACATCTTATCATGTTCTCAGGTTCCAACTCAACTCAACTTTATTTATAGAGTACTTAAAAACAAACACCACTGCGTACGGAGGGCTGTCCATGGAGCAAAGATCATATACTGTATACAAGAACAAACAATAAAACACAGGTTATCATTATTGGTGGATGAAAGGGTTAATGTTGTCATGTGGTTGTTGTCAATTTTAATTCAGGCCTTTAAGAAAAAGAGATCTGAAATCAACCAGCCAAAGGATGGTTTGGATTTATTTTTCAACATTATGAACAGATTTTTTTTTCTGGTTCTCCTGTGGAGGGAGGGGGGTGGTAATGAACATTCATCATTAAAAATTGTAATGTAAGATTACAGTTTATGGTTTGCATACAGAAATTGACGTTATAAATATGGCATCCAATGGCTGAACTTGGATGAGATGATTGACTGTGCTCTGGGATTGGTGGCTTAATCGCCTCTCCCATTCTATGTGCAAACCAAATCAATTTAACAGCAAAAGAAGATGCGAATCTTGAAGAACAAAGAGAAGAAGACGTGACTCATTATGACAGATGCCACTAGGAAAATGTTTTCGCCTTCAAAGAGGCTGGGAGAGATAAGTGTGGTCATATTTAAGACTACAGATGGAAAAATCAAGCAATCATCATTATCTCTACAATCACCATCTAAAATTTTACAGTTGTATGACTTGCAATGAAAATTTGCAATTTGTCAGAAATATGATGTGAGGAGTGTGTATTTAGGAGAAATGTTTTGATTTTTGTTGCTGTTGTAAAGCAATTTTACAATCCTCAAAAAGTTAACAGGGTGGCTGATTTTTTTTTTTGGATGAAAGATACAACGGGTTTCTGTGCATGTTTCTGAAAAAAATGTAACTTTGATTTTAAAAATTAAATTTTTGGCTTTAATTTTGAAATTTAAAAAACGAGAGGGATAAGCTGAACAGTTGATACTTGGAACGGTTTGAAAAAATGTAAGAAATTAAAGGCGAAAAAATCCTGATTCTTGAATTTTTCGTAAGTTATTTCAAAAGGGAAAATGTTGAATTTTTGGCATCGGTAGGGAGCTGCACCGATGCTGCACAGTTTAAAGTTGGAACGGTTTGAATTAGTCAGAAAATGCATTCAGCCTTTACACAATACCGTATTGGCCCGAATATAAGACGGTGTTTTTTGCATTGAAATAAGACTGAAAAAGTGGGAGTCGTCTTATATTCGGGGTCTAGACGTTATACCCATTCACGACGCTAGATGGCGCCAGATATCATTGAAGCGAATGCTGAACTTGACTCCCCAGGCCAAAGTGAACCCCTGTCACGAAGAATAAAAATAAAAATAGCGGTAGCACGAAGAAGGAAAATAAAAAATAGCGATAAGAAAGAAAAGAGAAGAAAATAATAGAAGAGATAACAGAAAATGGAGAAACATAGCGACAATCTGGAGAAAAGTGGGTCGAAGATCGGCCAGGTTAACCGGCAGCTGAGGAGAAGTTATGATGTAATTTACATTTCAAAAACCAGAAGCCATTCATTTACGAATGTGATTGCACTTTAGTTTACATATTTAAATGTTCAGATATTAAGATTTAAATTAGGCAAATAACATGCTTTTTCTCTCACATATATTGTTATAATCATTTGTTTCAGATGTACTGTAATTATTTTCTGTATAAAAATTAATTTGGTGTTCAAAAAGTCTTTTTTCAAACTTGAGTCTTGAAAAAGAGGGGGTCGTCTTATAATCAGGGCCGTCTTATATTCGGGCCAATGCAGTATATGCTTTTTGAAGGCATTTCTTCAATGATTCATAATTTGAAGCCCACTGTTCACATATTTACAAACGAACTCGCTATCTGTCTGCAAGTGACTTAACCTACGGTCTACCCCGCAGCAGCAAAGACGTGGACTCAACAACCGAAAGTTTAGATTGAATTTCTACACCGAATTCTCAGTCTGCCAGGTGAATCTATACACCGCTGCCCATGCTGCGCCATCACGGCCAGTTTGTCAGAGGACGGTTTGCCAAAATAGTTCAAAAATCAAGATCCGCCACATTGTCACCCGCCGCGAATGCGCTGTCTCGGAAACATAGAGCCCTATTGATTAAGAACCAGCGCCCTGCGTCGTAAAGATCTCTTCTCTCAACCTCCTGCTTTTCCGAACGCCACTTGATGCTCCTACCTTTTCGAACGTTGCCATCCGTTGTACGCTGGAATTCCCCAGCACTCAGTAGGAAGCAGGCCCGATCGTGTGGGTAACGTTCGCGGCTGGTGGTGGAACCGTGACCCCCGATGGCTGGGCTCCGCTCATCCCCCAAAACCTGGTCAATGGTGGGACAGTCTTCATTAGCCAGTGCTGCTGCATTAGCTGCTGCATCACCATTTTGTTTGGAATCTGGGTTTGAAGGAAATGAAGAAGTAGGAAAAGAGAAAAAAAAGGACATTTAAGAGCACAAAAACAGTAAATGGAAACCTGAGATAAGAATAGAGGTGGTAACATTGTGGACGGTGATAGGGCATAATGAGGAGATAAACAGAAGGACAGAACTAAAATGAAAATCATGGTTCAAAAAACAGGCTGCTGGAAATGGAACTGTAAACACTTTTTGTGATTTTTCAAACCTCAACCTCAAATTCATTGAAATTCAACAAAACCAGTCAAAGATGTGATTGCAGTGTAGGCATACAGCATTACTTTATGAGGGGTCAAAAACTAAATTGAAGCATTGATTTGGATTCAGATCTCCTGACTGTGATGCAGTTTGTAATATCCATCCATCCATTTTCTGATCCGCTTTATCATCACGAGGTTATCATCACGAGGGTCACGGGGGGTGCTGGAGCCTATCCCAGCCGTCTTCGGACAGTAGGTGGGGGACACCCTGAACTGGTTGCCAGTCAATAGCAGGGCACACAGAGATGAACAACCACCCGCGCTCACACTCACACCTTGGGACAATTTGGAGTGTTCAATCAGTCTGCCATGCATGTTTTTTGGAATGTGGGAGGAAACCGGAGTACCCGGAGAAAACCCACGCAGAGACAACATATTAGCTTTTTATCGCTGCAAATGGCATACATATGTGAAGTATCTGACTCATCAGATATTAAGTTACTTTCACATTTGTTTTAGAGTCATTATTATCAGTTTAGAGTTCTTTTTATCTATGTTGTGAAATATTGTCTTCCGTCTCTATAAATAGGTGAAGGAAAACTCTTGCAATTCGGCTCTCTCTCTCTCTCTCTCTCTCTCTCTCTCTCTCTCTCTCTCTCTCTCTCTAAGCATTTTGGTGAATGGAAGCTGAGAGTAAAGCCCAGCGCAGCTCACAACTCATCACCTCTGCTGGCAGTCATATCATCAATAAACACGAGTGAGCCAGTTAGCCATAAATACCTACTGTATGAAATGAGACAGTAAAGTTCCAGGACTGGTGTCATGAAAAATACATTTCAGACCCATACTAAAAACTACATGTTTTCCCCTGAGAGGGAATCCCCCTGGAGCCCAAAGCACTTTCCCAGCCATTTCTGTTGCGCCTCCAGGAGGGATTCTAGCGTTGTCACTACCATCTTGATGTCATCCACATTTTCGAAATCTTGATGACTGTCTTGAGCTTGGGAAAAAACAGAACAAAAAAAAAAAACAAACAAAACACAGCGCCGTGCCAGGTTGGGTGAATGGGCAGGTTGCTCCAGTGCAATGTTCTACTTGGCCAGGAACTGTCAGATGCTTTGGGCATCATGAGCATGCATCGCAGCCACAAGTATCTCTCCTCCCACACTGAACAAAAGTGATACCGCTGGATCTCTTTGTAGATGTGCTGGTTGATCAGCTGGTCCACACTGAAGCTCATACGTGTAGTTTATAATTTGGGTTTCAATATATCTTTTGTGACACGAGTTCTGGAACATTTTTTGACACACTTCATGGACATAAACACCTCCTCTGCCATGTTTGACAACTGGTGTGGTATGCTTTGTTGCCTCTGCATCAATCGTGCTGATACAAATGTCCTTTGTCTAAAAAACAGATTGTTGGACATGCACATTAGAAAAAAAAAACTGGATTCTGACAGAGTCTAACAAGGCTTTCCTGTTTATGAATGTGACCAGTGGTTTGCACTTTGTTTGTTGTTGTTTGTAAATACACATTGATACATTTACAGTACCTTCGCAGGGGTATTTCTGACTTTTGTTTGATGATGCAATGATAATTTTACAGTGTACCCCCAGCCAGTCCCAGGGACTCGCTGATCAGAAAAGTATGAGTCCCATTATGCATTTAGAGAGTCCCAAATTTCAAATTCTGAAATGGTCTACTTATTCAATTGCACATGATAATAACACAAACAACAACATATACATACAACTATAAACAAATGATGCAAAAATTTTAATAATTCAGTAGTAGACCTGAGGATTTCGGAAATTCACGGTAACTGTTTTTCGGTTCCGTCGGATTACCCAATGGGAAACCACGGTAACTAATTTTGGGTTCCGTAAACGTTCATCATGGGAACCCATTTTTCTATTTTTACTGATATTCATAATCAAGAATTGTGAAACTCAAAAGTATAATGTTTCAATGGTAAATGTTGGAAAACTATGCATTAACAATGAACATTACATCAGCAGCTGTGTACTCCAGGTTTATTAAAAAAAAAAATAAATGGATCAAAATATGGTGTACTCATATGGCATCATAATACAGCATACCACAAAATCTGAGTATTTTTTCCAATCTCACACTGCAAAAATTAATTTCCTGGTAATCATTAATACAGGTAAGTATTGATGTAGCTTGACATCCTCTTCCCAAGACGATGCATGTGTAATCTACTATCAATTTGACAAAAGAATCTAACACACGCCATCATTAGTTCTACCAACAGTTAACATTAGCATTACTACACCTTGTGACGAATGTTTTATTCCTAAAGTTACCATGCTACAACCAGTAAATTACAGAATAACTAAGACTGTTTCAGAATATTTTTCATAGCGATTAGCCTATACTGTAGATCTAATGACCAACTATCCGCGGAATCGTGCCTCCCATCGTATCTCGCTCTCGTGTTCTGTGCATACATCACAGGTGAGTTTAGTGAGACGCCCTTTGGACGATTCATACGAAAAATCAGACTGGCATTCCCATTTCTTAAATGTCGAAATTAGTAGACCTTTGTGAGTTTTTTTCACCGCCATCTCAAACTGTCATCCACGCGATTCCTCATTTTGCGGACTAAAATAGCAACCCACATGCGCACATGATGCTATCTGTTCTGTCCCCCCCAACACTGAAAACAAAACAAAACAAAAGTAACTTAGAAGAAACACACTCACACACCACACCACACCACACCACAAACACACATACAGGCACAGTGAAATCGCGTTGAGCACACAGGAGAGATTTGATCGCGTACAGTCAACTCGTGTGCGGTGACTTTTATGGTTAAACGATTTTTCGGTACCGTCAAAATGACGCCACAGAAATGACACGCTACCGGTAACGGTCGTTACTGTGAAATCCTCAAGCCTGCCGTAGTTTTTTTTTTTGTTTTTTTTTTTTTGGACTGAGAAATTTCCTTGTGTCCCAAAAACGCACATTATTTGGAATTGTGCGTCCCGCGGGAAAATTATGCGTCTAGGACGCGGGACGCAGAGGTAACGAGATGGCTGTTGATGTGCGTGTTTTTTTGTTTTTTTTAATTTACTAAGGAAAATTTATTTATTATTATAGTGGTGTTGCAATACTGACACGTTTCAAATCTATTCGCTATGAAAGTGAATAATTGTGTTGGTGATGGTTAAAATTCAGATTGTTTAGCCTTGGCAGAGGTCAGCGCTGTAAATTGTAATGGGCTATGTGGATGATATATGAACAGCTCTCACAGTCACTGTAAAAAATACAAGAGACTTACTTTCCTGTCGATCACATACCTGCCCTGTTGATTTCAATGATCTCCTCTTGTGCCAATGGACAATCTCCGGCACCCATCATGCTGCCAGATCCCACCATGCCAGGCCCCAGAACATTGCCCATCAGCCTGTGCGGCGAGGCGGTTGCCATGGCGAGGGCATCCGGTTTGCAGTAGTTGGGACTGCCTGGCTGTGGTGCACGGGGTATATGCTTGTTCCTCTTCTTGGGGAGTTTTTGCTTAGCCATGGCCAGGGAGTAGTACATACCAAAGTTGTTGACAATGACTGGGACAGGCATAGCGATGGTCAACACACCGGCCAAGGCACAGAGGGCGCCCACCAACATCCCTGACCATGTCTTGGGAAACATGTCTCCATAGCCCAGTGTTGTCATGGTCACCACTGCCCACCAAAACCCAATGGGAATGTTCTTAAAGTCCGTGTGGGCACCAGCGGTTGGATCATCTGGGTCAGCACCTACGCGTTCAGCATAGTAAATCATGGTTGCAAAGATGAGGACCCCAAGCGCCAGGAAAATGATGAGCAGCAGGAACTCGTTGGTGCTTGCCCTCAGAGTGTGGCCCAGGACCCGCAAACCGACAAAGTGGCGAGTGAGCTTGAATATGCGCAGGATTCGGACAAAGCGAACCACACGCAGGAAGCTGAGCACGTCTTTGGCTGTTTTGGAGGAAAGGCCACTAAGTGCCACCTCCAGGTAAAAGGGCACGATAGCCACAATGTCTATGATGTTCAGGGCACTGCGGAAAAACTCTGTTTTGTCAGGGCAGAAGATAACACGCAGTAGCACCTCAATTGTGAACCAAATGACGCAGACACCCTCAACATACGTCAGCCATCCATCTGTGACCACTTCAAACACTGTCTGTAGAGTGGAAGCAACACAAATAAGACTGAATAAAGCAAAGCTTTCACATTTTACTGCACTACAGCAATAGGCATGTGAAACTAACACAAAATGACAGTGAAAACATTCAATACACATTTTTAAAAATTCAATTAATATTTGCAATTTGCAAAAGCTTCACGTTCTTTTTCAGTGATTAAAATGATGTTAAAGTGAAATCTGCCAAACGCGTAATTTGAGTAACCTGACTTTGTCTTCATACATAAAGTAGGGGTGCCCAAACTTTTTTATTTGAGGGCCGCATACAGAAGAATAGAAGGGTGCAAGGGCCACTTTTACATTCTTCAACATTTTGAAACATGCTAAAGTCAGTGAAGAAAGCAATTATAAATGGTTTGTAGTGTCTAGTTAATTTCATCATCTTTCTGTTAAAGGTTTTAAGGCAAATCATAAATCGGCCATAGAGCACAATGTGGAAGAAACTAGTATTGCCTCTAAAATGGAGTTATCTTTATTCGCTACAGTGTTTTGAAGATAAACGGTGTTATTCTTTGAATCGTAAATGGTTTATTGGTATCTTCGAACATAGAGAAAAGTTCTACGATATATAAACAAATGTATTACTCATAATGGCGCTTATATTTCTGACACATTCCCTACTCACTTTGCCCACCTTCACCTTTTTTCACTAATCTTGCAATGTCAAATGTCATTTTTAGATGTTTTTTTTTGGAGAGGCGGGGGGTTCATGTCACCGGCCATTGAAAAATGGATGGTGGGCCAAAAATGACCCCTGGGCCGTACTTTGGAAAGCCCTGGTTTTAATAAGTCAATTTTAAGTAAGCTTTTATTAAGTGTTACTTATGTCAGTGTGATGTTATTTTACTGACCATTGTTGGTTTTTACATCTTTAACCCTTTCAGGGACAGCAGTTACTGCAGTGGACAGCTCATCATATTGTCAAGGTTACAGGGTGCATGAAAGGCTTAAAGAAAGGGTACTAAAAATTTTGTCTTCACTGACTTGTGGTTGTGAATGTGTGTTGTGTATTCCTCTAAAATGATTGTGTAAAAAGTTTAAACCAATCTCAATTGACAATCGTTTTTAGTATTTTGGTCATTAATGCAAGATTTACCCCATGAATTTACAATGGGGCACATTCACACTAATCAACTCATTCAAACATCAAGTACCTCCTCGTGCGTCACATTGCTGACAGTGACGTTCTCAGTCAGGTTGTATATGGTGTAGAAGGTTTCGTGGGTCTCCAGGCAGAACGTAGAGATGGAGAGGAGGATGAAGAAGAGGGAACCAAATGCCACATACTGCAGAGGCGGGGGAGGAAGAGGGGGCGGGGGGTTAATATGTTTCCAATTCCAAACCGTTTTCATCCTTACCATCTTACAGCAAACGACTACAGCCACCTGTCATATCTGTGAATGCTCTTTTATTTGGCTCATTCACTGAACACTGCATTCAGGTGCTCAATAGTGTGTTCATTGCGCAAGAGTAGGTCTGTGTTTCTGAGCCATTGCACCATGTGGAAGCTGTTATGCAAGAAAGCCGCCGTTAGGGGGTATCTGTAACACCGTGGATAGTAGAGCAATGATGTGAGTGCAAATGACCTCAATGCTGCAAACCCAGTGAGCGCAGCACCCTCGGCCAGAGAGAAATGATGGATACAAGTCGGAAAAGATGATATAGAGTGTGATGTGAGGATGAGGAAAATCGAGTAAATACCATACCAATAATGAGATGATTCGAAATTCTGTCAGGTATGTGAGTTTCCTAAATGTTGGAAGAATATTAAACATATAAGTGTATATCTATCGTTGATCCAACATCAAGCACTCTGTACAGAATGTAAACACACAACTGAAGTGTTTTTGCAAGCCATCCGTGTTTATTTTTTTCTCTAATTAAGCTCGTGTGTGAGTCCAGTCCTTATTTGCTGCAGCATCCCCCTGCCCCCAACCATTCATTACCTTATTTTGCTCTCTCTCTCTCTTTCTTTCTCTCTCATGCTCTTCCTCTCTCCTGACAACCCTTTTTATTTACTGCAGTAGCATGTTTCCTCCCTTATGTGTGTATGTGAGTGATGTCCCCCCCACCAACCCCTAACAGCTGAGATAAATTTCTCCATGGATCTGGTCTTACAAAAATAGAACATCGTAACCCCCAAACAGTCATCATACAGTATTTGTCTGTACTACATAGAAATAGAATCTTCTAACCAATTCATCACCCGGTACTTGTTTGTTGTCATCCCTGTCCAACCACATGGTCAGTACAGTTGCGTACTGTACACATCAAGTGGCACCGATAACTGTAATACGGTGCCTCAATATGCTCACATAACAAAGCAGTGTTGCTGTTATTATTAAGCAGTTAACAGAACTTTAAAATCACGGTGACGCATAGGTCACTCTTAAAATTGAAAGGGTGGCAATTCATAGAGACACGACATTTTCATAATTTAAAATTAATAGAAATAATTAGCCATCCATCCATCCATTTTCTGATCCGCTTATCCTCCCAAGGGTCGCGGGGCGTGCTGGAGCCTATCCCAGCTACCTTTGGGCAGTAGGCGGGGTAAACCCTGAACTGGTTACCAGCCAATCGCAACACTCACAGTCACACCTAGAGACAATCTGGAGTGTTGCATTAACCTGCCACGTATGTTTTGGGAATGTGGGAGGAAACCGGAGTACCCGGAGAAAACCCACTAAAGGCACGGGGAGAACTGAACCCTGCACCTCTGCACTGTGACGCCGACGCGCTAAGCAGTCAACCACCGGGCCACCCACAAAAGATTATTAAATAACAAAAAAACAAATGGATGATTAATACTCGCTTGCAGTCAATGGAGGCTATGAATTGGTGGCGAGAACCATTCACCATTACATTTTCATCTGCTTATCCGAAGGGATCCAGGAGGATCCCAAGGTGTTGCCATGCTAGCTTGGCCTCCTCCCAGTGGAATGTGTCCAGGACATTTCACCAGGGATGCGTCCAGGAGGCATCTTAATTAGAAGCCCGAGCCACCTCATCTGACTCCTCTCCTGGGGAAGAGCAGCGGCTTGACTCTGAGCTCTCCCGCATAAGCGAGTTTGTCAACCTATCTCTAAGGGAGAACTCAAAAACCTGAGGAGGAAAATCATTTCCATCGCTTGTATCCGTCACAGCTTGTGACCATCGGTGAGGGTAGAAACATCGATGAACCAGTAAATTGAGAGCTTCGCCTTTCGGCAAAGCTTCTGGACCACGATCAACCGGTGCAGCGTCTGCAGTGATGCAGCGTCTGCATCACTGCAGACGCTGCACCGATTCGCCTGTCAGTCTCCCGCTCTATTTTTCTCCTCATTCATGAACAAGACCCCAAGATACTTGAACTTCTCCACATAGGGCAGGCGCTATTCCTTGACATGGAGAGGGTACTTCACCCTTTTTTTAACGCCATAACCAGGTGGCTGGCATAGTCTACCGAAACATCTGTCTGGAGTATGGACTGGAAACCCCGAGGTCAAAATGGGAAACACCTCCAAAGGTAGTGGAGAATGACTGAGCGAAGATCCTGTGGGACTTCCAGATACAGACTGACAAGATGGTAATGGCGAACCAACCGGATATCGTGATCATAGATAAAAGGCAGAGGAAAGGCGTTGTAGTGGATGTAGCGATCCCAAGTGATGGAAACACCCGAAAGAAGGAACACAAGAAACTGGAGAAACACCAAGGGCTCAGAGAGGAGCTGGAGAGAGCCTGGAAGGTAAAGGTGACAGTCGTGCCTGTGGTAGTCGGAGCACTCGAGGCAGTGACCCCCAAACTAGATGAGTGATTGCAACAGATCCCGGGAACATCGGACATCTCAGTCCAGAAATGTGCAGTGCTGGGAACAGCAAGGATACTGTGCTGAACCCTCAAGCTTCCTGGCCTCTGGTGGAGGACCCGAGCTGAATGGGGGACGGACACCAACCGCGGGGTGAGACGAGGAATATTTTTTTATCTCTCTCTCTCTCTCTCTCTCTCTCTCTCTTTATATATAGATAGATAGATAGATAGATAGATAGATAGATAGATAATTTATTATAGTCAATTTTTTAAACAGTTTAATTTTTTTTTGTGCATGCAAATACTTATGTTTTTCTACTTTCTCTCTTTCATAATTTTTGCTACTGTAAATTGCAAATTTCTCCATTGTGAGACAAATAGAGGTTTTTATTCTTCTTCTTCTCCTATTCTTAAATCTGTTTGTAGGGTTGCAATTCTGTTTTCTTGCTAATCAAGCTTTGGCATACAGTTTATTTTCAGCTGATGAACCATTTTGTTGTCATAGTGTACACTGTACGTGTGTGCACAAATAGCATATGTGTGTACAAGTTGTGGTGTGTGAGTATGTGTCAGGTCAACGAGGAAGACAGACAGATGAAGTCTTCGTCTAATCCAAAGAGAGCACATTGGGTCCCACATCTTATTAACCATGGTCTAATTTAACACCCCTATCTAGAGCTGTCCTGGTTACACAAACTTTTTCTATCTCACGCGCACACACAAACACACACTGATGAGCTGGACTGAAGAATATTAAAAGGGAGCCACACAACATATCCCAGGTTTTCCATTGAATCTCTTTCCACATGGGATGTTTTACATCAATAAAATTACAGTCAACATTTTTTTAACCTTTTCAGGGACAGCGGTAACTACAGTGGGCAGCTTATCATGTTATCAGGTCACAGGGAGCATGAAAGGGTTAATGTGATGTTGTGCAGATATTGATGGGACTGTAAAGTCATTTTAAGCATGTCTGCCTTACAAAAGGGTTTTGGGACTGAATCTCGGCTCAGGCTCAGTTTGCATATTCTCCCCGTTTTCTCCAGGAACTCTGACATCCTTCCACATACCACATTCATGCACGCAAAATTAACTGAACATTGTAATGAAAGTATGAATGCTTATTGTCTATGTGCATGCCTTGCACTGCACTGATTACAAGTATGGGCAAGTGCCTACACAGTATGAAGACTTTATTGGCATCTTCACAAAGGGTCGAATTCAGAAACATGTTTGGAGGAATTCTGTATTTTTAAAATGTTTTTCTTTTAAAAAAAAAAAATTAAAAAAAAATCAAGCAGAATTTACAAAGTTCTGTAGATATTACAGTATTTTAGACCTTACCCTAGTAAGGTTAGTTGATGTGCTCTGTAGTTGAGTATTTGGTTTATTTGATAGGGATAGATCCAAAAACATCGATAAACTGCACAGCAGTCTGATGTGTGCATCAATACGCTTACAGCAAAAGCTAATTTGCAGCGCCCGGCCCTGGAGAGGATTTTATAACCTAACAAAATACTGCTTAATGTTAAAAGACAATGACAGCGATATTTACATAATGACGTAAAAAAAAAAAAAAAAAAAAAAAAAAAAGAGGTACATGTAGCCTTAAACATGAGTACACTGCTACATCTGGCACGTTCACAATTTTGGGCGCTTTTTAAACAAGTCCAATCTCGTGAAGGATTTAAAGAGATTTTCGGTCTCTTTATAACCGCATTGGCTAAACCCTGGTGTGACGAAAAAAGACGTGGACAAGACAGCTATTGTTTGTAGAAAAATATATATATTTGGACAGAAAAGGGAAAAGAAGAGAAACATACAGATTGCGAAAGAGAGCGTGTCCGCCCGACCTCGAGCGTCGTGTCGTCTCAACTAACTAGCTTAGTATCATTTTAATGGTCCGGCCCACTTGACATCTACCCAGGCCGTATGTGAAATGTGTTTGACACCCCTGTCCTAGACCAAAGCTCTTTGATGTGTAACATCCGTTGCGTCAGCACTGATTGGTTGAAGCCAAAAGACGTGCGTGCGTACACGTCCGTGCTGATGCAGGTACAGCGGAGAGCAGCGGACTATCGACTGCTGAGTCGCGCTTCAATCGAGTGGCGTCGCTACAGATTGTAGTTTGGAAGGCAACAAGTACGGTGCGATTTTAAAAAGTGCCGTGGAGAGTGTGGACTTTGATGCTTACTCAAGGAAGTTCTACAGACTCCTAATCTTAATCCTGTTACCGTATTTTCCACACTAACAGGCGCACCGAAAAGCCTTCCATTTTCTTAAAAGCTCACAGCGCGCCTTCAAATCCGATGCGCCTTGTATATGGTTATTACGGTAATATGTCACCCTTAAAATCCGATGTGCCTTGTGTATGGTTATTACGGTAATATGTCGTTCCCAAAATGGCTCTTTGCTGGAGATGTGCTTACAACGCAGAGTTCAAATTTAAGGCAATCGGGTTACGCAGCTGAACACGGAAATAGAGCAGCGG